CCGGCTGATTGACCTGCTGCTGGCCTCGCGTCTGCGCGATCTCCTGGTCCTGGAGGACTCCTCGCAGAATCCTGAAGCCGGCCTCGTTGACTGGGCCTCCAAACGTGCGCGCAGCGTCAACTCGGAACCGGTGGATATTAGGCAGAGCCTGTTGGCCTTCCTCACGGTGTGTTATTGTTGACTTCTCTCTATAACGCTGCTGTTGCTGCGTGATTTCAATCCACATCAGTTTTTATTACCTTTGTCATATCTGGAAAGCATTGCGCAAGTTGGTTGTCCGGCTGACCTTTGTGTTGAATTGGCGCGGCTTTGAGGTGCGACTTTCGGTCCGTCAAGCAGCACACTGACCACTGCTGTCTGCTGAACTGTTTTGTCCTAGCCACATTAACTGTCCGTCAGTTTTCTGTCTCCTCTACTTCTTTGTGTTGTTCCCTTTTGAATGAATTTCCTGTGTGGGTTTGGTCCTGCACTGAACTCGGAGGTCGTTATTGCAGATAAACTGCGTCTACTAAAGTACCTCGTGTTTGGCGCTTCTTGTAAGGTAGAACACGTACCTGCCCCTATATAGGTTACGAGGGCAGTGTTGGTAGGAGAACAGGCATGACACCGTCGGCGTTTTTCTAACTTACTTTGGAAACCGTGTTCCAACCGGCCGTTTACAAGCGAAGCTAGATTTTTTTCCCGGGTGAGCTGCTGGGTTTAATTCTTGATTCATTTGGCCCAGTTGTAAAAACTTCGGTGACGAGGGCAAGAGTTGAGTACCGTCAACGTACTATTCACGTGAGCTACGAGGCCCCATGGGGGTTGTTAGTTTAACCATATCTAGGCCAAATTGCCCACCCAGTCAGCTACACCGTATGAAATCCATCAATTTTGATACAGTAAGCTCACTGCCCAAGTAGGATCGCATCAGCAACCAGAGTCGTTTAATTATTGGTGTTTCTGACAGATCTAAGTTGCTCTTGCTGTCATGGGTTCGCATCCAACCGATACCACCAACTTTTTTTCACAACGGGTTGAATGAATTATTCAAATCTGTCACAAAACTATTAATTCCTGATGTCGTTTTCGGTATTTGCATCCGTAGCCGACAAGCATTTTTACTCTGTTCGGCACGCCGCCTTGTTCGACGTCGCCATGCGTCAGGGTGATTCGCCTTCCCGGCGGCCGGTTTCAGACGTATATTCCACATTTGTTTTCAGCGCACAACCCGAATTATGCCTGCCGCACCCTGATCTGGCCCCCGCGTTGGTCCGACGCATCTATCACGCGGCCCCTTGAGGGGGCATACCCCGAGTCTACTGAAGCACACACACACACGCACGCCATTAGGACGTGGACACTTGAACAGGCTCCCACAAACCCCCTAAAAGCAGCTGACACCGCGGTCTCACCTTCTCCCACGCGTCACCACATGTCCTGGCCGGCCTCACGCGCTAAACCTGGCCGACACAACACCCTTCAGGGTTCTGTGCACAAAAGATATTCCCTTCTGGTAGTAATCGGGCCTTGAGTGTGCCGTCCCAAGGCAAAACCACGTCTCGAGGTAGCGGTTGTACTTTAAGTCGCTACGCGTCCCAGCGCGCATGATTATCGTATGCCAGTAAATAAGCGACTCAGCACCTGGTAAAATAGAAGTTATTATTTTAGCGGGGTAGGGATTCATACTGTACCGTCACCTGTTCTCTGAATGGATTACCTGGAATACGGACCTTCACTTCCATCCATGACCGTATTTCAATGTTTGCTTGACTTTATTTTTTCCCAAAATGCTGTCTACATGCTAACAAATCGTTTGGCCTTGTTGGATTGCGCGCAAATTATATAAAAATCTAAAAGCGTAGAGAACAACTTCATATTTTTCACTAGCTATCCTAGCTAGCAGTAGGATAAAATTGTATTCACAAAATTGTATCCCACAGCTCACAATAGATACAAGGTTATTTCACCGACCACCATACTTTTGGAGGCAGGTTATTAACAGTTGCGCATATATTTTCGAGACCAAGCCACCGTGCACGTAAGGTTGCGCTCACATGCAGCAAAGCCTCGAAGCAAATGCCAATCGGCTGCAGAAAGTGCATGCAATTGATAGCGGAATGTGTGCCAGGCAGGCAGCCTGGTAGGGCAGACGTACGACCAAATTGCTGCCAGGTTTTTTCTGTTGGCACCCCGCACGTCCAACCTGACTGGATCTTTCGGTTTGCCTGCCTCTCCCTCTCTCTCAGCCACAGAATCCTTTAGAATCGCGCTCGGCGCCAGTACTGACAGCTGTTTAGTTAAGAAGCCGTCAAAGGGTTCTTATGCAAGCCCTGCTCCTGACTTGAGCCAAATCCGCATCACCTGACGGCACTGTATTGCTCACCAGCTAAAAAAACAAGCTTCGCACCCCCTCTTACCTCCACATCGACTTATGTGCTAGGCTACAAACATCCGATGTCATCGCTCATGGCGGTCGAAACATCTCAGCCTTTGGCCTGCGCAGCTTCGTTTCCGGATGTCCAGTAAGCGATTGTCTGTAAGGGGAACACGTTTAGTTCTGTCTGTAGACTGACTGATGTGTGCTACTTATTCCTCTGTCATGGTTACTTTTAGACCGTTTTTATTTTCGCCGGCGTGTGCGGGTGTGTCCAGAAATCCTTCAAAAAAAACTATCCATAAAAATCGGCTGCATAATTAGCAAATTAGTTTTTTTTACTTGTAGTGAATCAAATTTAAAATGATGCCCCTTGTTACATTCCAAAATTCCAAGATTGTGATCCATGGTTTGTAGTCATGTGCCTTTACAGCGTCACAAGTTTGCAAAAGTGAGATTTTCGAGAAACAAACAAAACATTACGTTCTCAGATTTACAACATCCGTCTGCGCTGTCAGTCATATAAGCACCCCGGCGAATCGGACTGTATAGACTAGAAGAGTTGTACGCACCCCACGCCCCCATCACTTTTTGGCCAGAAGAGAAGTCGCGCGTTCACTTCTTCGGGTGAATGGAGCACGAACGCATTCAGTTTGTCTGACGGCCTGTGAGGGGCGTACATCCATGCACGAGTCAATTAACGAACCTGGATACGTTCATTTACTGTAGTCTACCGTATAAAGTGCTTGCCATTAAGCGTTCCACGCTCGCGTGGAGTCAGCGCTTAAAAAGTATGTACAGCATAACCCCCCCCCGCCACCCCTATTGGTATACTCACCCATTACCCACAAGAGATCCAGCCCGTGATTGTGGTGGTTGCTTTTCGCTTACCATCCTTCACAACAGGGCCATCCTTTTAGCCAAAAACCACTTCTCGGTGATAAATAGACTTTTGTATTTGCGTACGAGCGGTTTGACGCCCGGTTGTTCTTGCTGCAAAAAGGCTGACAACCAAGTTTTTTTTCACCAGACTTCCCGAAAGCGTTTTTACGTAATCACCACGTGGCTGCCCTTTATTAATTCATATAGCTACGGAACGTATCTGATTTTGTTGACGAGGATTCTCCATGGTGTGTTCCATTATCTTTTTTGTTTTGTTGAAAGTTACAGTTCGTAACTTGTTCATCGGTCCCCCAGAATTTAAATTAACAGTTATTCGCAGGTCCTCTTGTCCTTAGTACGCGTTAGCAGCATTTGTGCAATTGCTGGTCACAAGGCATCCCTTTCATTTTTCCTATTTTTTCCATAATAATCTAACGTCTAGTCCAAACTGTAGCTAAAAGCCCTCTCTCGCTCTCCTTCCTCAATCCTCTCTGTATCCTCTCATATTTTTTTGTCTTTTTCTTGCAGCCACGAGTGATGAATCAAATGACCCTATGGAGCCAAAGCCCCACAAATAGCGGCTTCGGTAGCCTCTTGGCTCTCACTCTCAGTCAGATGGCACTGGACCTCTTCGGTTTTGCTGATCTTCTCTCAGCAACCGCAGCCGAGCGTCTGGGTCTC